GGGGGGGGGGGGGGGGGGGGGGGGGGGGGGAGGGGGAGGGGCAGACGGGCAGTGGAGTAAGAGTAAACCGGCAGGAGTTGACTTTTGATCAATACTGCTGTCTATGCGCTTTGCGCGTGCAGATTGTAGCAGTGCAAGCGTTGTGTGCCACAAATCTATCCCGCGAGAAATATTACTTATTTCCTTCATTTCAAACCACAATGTACTTACGTCGCCCTTGCTGTACTCTCGGATGAGCGCATCGACATTCAGGAGATGCCGCCTGCCAAAGGAGCCGTCCGCCTTTCGCGTGAGGGCAAGTCCCGCCCGCACCCTGAGGATGACTTCATACGCCACAGGAAGCTGATAGGGACAACGAGGCAAGGAAGAACGAGAAACAGCCAAGCAAATTACCCGTGGAAGGCGGTTAGCGTTAAGGGTCGTCCAATATGACACAAAAAATGCTAGCAACCGAACCACAGGACCAGCGATAATACAGCTGGCGCCCGCAGTTAAGAAATATTTTGTTACGAAATTGAGGCTCACTTGTTCCCGAAAAATAAGAAAATAGAGTTAAGAAACATAGCTTAATCTGGGTCACACAATAAGAAATGTCTCAAAAAGATAGGAAGGGAGCGGGGGGCGCAAAAGGGTGACAACCCCCGATGTTCGCCTCACGGAGCTTGCATAATAATGAGGGGGTAGTGTTCGTTGTTGGGCACGTCAGCGTGCGGGTGAGGCATCATGCGGTGTTCATGCATTTGTTTAGTTTCAGCCCTCACTCATGAGGGGGGTACAGGACCTTGTAGCGATAGCGAGACGTTGCCGCTGGATGGATACTGAATGACATACGCTGAGTTTATAGCCCACAATGAGAATTCGAGGCTGGACCTGAAATAAGCGTTTCTTAACTGCGGGCGCCAACTGTGACAACGGCTATCGCACAAATTCTACGGGGCCAGCAGTTGTTGTTGTTGTTGTTGTTGTCTTCACATTAAACCGTATGTCAGTTGCTAAATGCTAAAATCTAGCAAAGACTCTCAGCCCGTGGTCACGAAAGTGCTAGAGCCATCTGAGGATCTAAAGAACACGCACACATATAACGAGACAAAGGTATCCAAGAGCCCGAAGAGGTACACCTAAAAATCCCTGCAGCACCGTATGCGTGCCCAAAAACTGAACTGCACGTCCGTCCCACCGTTCGACTACAGTAGCATCACCCCCTCCCTGTCCCACTCTATACCAAAACGGAAGATTGCCGACTACAGCATAATGCTGTCTGAAGTGCTGTCTGTACAAAAACACCATGGTAGGCATGGAACAAGCAGCTGGCGGGGCACAAAGCTGCTGTCTGAAGTGCTGTCAGAATGTGTCTGCGG